TTCGACCCTTTTTTATTGATAGTGTAAAGCTCGAATGAAGAGTACTCCTAGTAGTGCAATCATGGCAATTATTTTCCAAATTTTTTTTTTGTTATAAAAATACCGAATAACGTTTCACTGTTAAGCACAAATGCTAAGTAACTTTTACAAATATAATCAAATAAACCTATTACTTACTTTATTTTTAAATCTTTTTCATCAATGAAATACTTATCTTATCCTAACTATCTATACTAATATTATAAAGAGGCAAGATTTGTATGTTTCTAACAAATAATTAGTCAAACTACTGAACCGGTTTCAAATATTAATTCATCATAAGGTAGCAACATTATTTATTATAACATTTTTCTTTATTTAAATACATTTTGTCCGAGTGACATAGGCTATATTTTATCCCGATAAATAAATTTCGCCCGTACAATGCCCGGGTGGATCACTAGTAAGTATAATATAATATTATAGATGCGAAAGTGAGTTTGTTTGTTGCGCTTCCGTGCCCTAATAGCTAAATCGAATATAATGCATTCCCATATAGAAGTAGATGGGAACTTGGTTCTTAGCTACAACATCGCAATACTTATAGGCGTAGGGTGATGAAAGGGGTGATTTACCTATAAAAATCTACATTATTTACTTTGAATTTTGCAGAACTATTACAAAACCAATATTATCGCGAGCCGATTAATAAATACAGGGATTTCAATAACTATGTACTTACTAGCGAAAAATGGGTTATTTGTCATTATATTAAGTAAACCTTTTTTGTAGCATTAAGTAATATCGTTGAAAAAAATGAAAATCAGTAAAATTCTGAGTTTTTCATTAAAATTCAATAATCATAAATACCTATTATGATAACATATTTTTCATCATTTAATAAGAAGGAACTGTATCACAGTTTTATTGTTAGTACTTATAGTACACCGCGCTATCACTTTGTCATCGTTGTAACTTTTTAAATATTTGTCGAAATGACATAGGGTAAAAAGCAAAGTTTATCGTTTTTAAATATCAAAAGCGATAAAAGTATTTGTTTTGATAAAAAATGATTTGTTAATACAAAATGTGCATTTTGGAAATAGATATCAAATAATATTTTAGTTTTGATTCACTATTTTAGCGGTAATGGCTTACACATTAAAGATGGATATATGGTGTCACGGACTTTTTTTTAGAACTATTTAAGAGATACATTTTCATTCTACATTACATTCATGTAACTTTTATTGTTTTTGCAGTGCAGGCCAAAATGGCTCGCAGATGGGAGATTTTTTTCCGTCTTATGTGACACTTATTGTTATATATTGGCCAATTCACTCAATAACTACAGAAATTATATATATGTAATTATCATATATGAGCTATATTACTGTTAAGTTTCATTAAAATCCATTCAGTATTTTTAGGTGAAAGAGTAACAAAGATCCATACAAACGTAAGATTGAAATTAAAAGCGGAAGTGGTTAATATACAACTTTAATGCGTTGTAGATCCTGAACAATCATATTAAATGAAAAATGGTGTTAGGAACCTAAATATGATTTTTGATTATCTAGACAGTGATACCCCATTCGACATATTTTGTCAACTTATTTTTTTTACTTCGTCACAATATGGCGCCTAATTTTGCCCATATTGAATTTTGTTTACTATCATATCTTTAGTAGCAGTCCCATGATTGAGACGAATCGATTGATGTATGAATCATCAAAATCGGTCCAGGCGTTTGATCTCTAGTGTGCCACAAAGGAACAAACATACATATATAGACTGTTAAACACATAACCCTGTCTGCGCGTCGCGCTTCGCGCTCGTGCATTGCGCAGCCGGGTAAAAAGCAACAATATTAAATACCTTAGATACAACAACACGAACAAAATCGTGCCCGAAACCTGTCCAAAAGGTACATTGGACGATCCACGGAGCTCCGTAAGCTGATCGTGTAGTTAGTGACAACAAAATATTAGGCATTATTTTAACATTGTGAGCGCACGTGCTGTATCTGGAGTAGTTAATATCGTTGGAAAATAGAGAAAAAAGACATTGGGAACATTTTGCCCCGCTTATGGAAAAGTAGCGGACTCAAACATAACCTCGTGCAATGGATAGGTAAAACTGCTTTAAACCTGTGAAATTTTTATTTCGGTAACATATTGAGAAAATGAGGTATTTGTCAAGCGTGAACTGGCAATCGAGGTATTTGTGTCAGCGAAGCCCTTATAGCCAAAGGCGTTCTCCACGGATGTGTTCGTTTTGTAGTCGATAGGTCCGACAACACCCACCAATCCGCACTGGGCCCGCATGGTGGGTCATGGCCCAATCTCCCTATTCCATCTATAGGGAAGGCCTGATGATGATGAGGTCCGACAAATGACTCCACCCCACCTGATGCTAAGTGACGGTGAAGTCCAGACATGAAGTTGTAGTCAGTAAGTGTCGGCCATAACAATCTGCAGCCGGCTGTAGCGTATCTATGAGGAGTTGAGAAGTTTACCCCCCCCCCCCCCCCCTGTCTAGGAGTATTATACAATAATAATAATAAAGTTTTCAGCGCGCGCGCGAGTTCGACTTTGCTTTGAGTTCGTGTGGTTTGTTTGTTTTCAACAAACAATTATTGTATGTTGTTCTCGTCGTATCACAATATTGGTCTACATATCTAGAGGTCTTGAGCTTTCAAATGAGATTCAATTCATATCTGTCCGCTGTGGGTTACCCTTTCATACTAAAGTTCCCAAATTCTTTTGCTACAGACGATAAACATAAAACCTGGTATTAATGAGTCGCCCGCAGCGCGTCGATTAAGTGGGAATATTTTAATAGTGGGAAAAGAGAGATGAAAATGGTCTATAATAATTTTAAGCATTTAACTGTTAGATGTTTGAATCTAAAGAAAAGTTTACTAGAAAAAAATCCACGCGGACCAGTCAGTGAGGTGACTTCCCCAGACGGGGCGCTCATATTCGAGCGAAATATACGCTATGTCCTACCTCTCATGAAGATATAATTATGTAGGTGCTAACTTAGCTCTGTGTCCTTGAAACAAAAGATATATCACACTAATATTATCAAAGCGAAACTTTGTGAGTGTGAGAGTGTATATGTTTGTTACTTCTTCACGTCTAATAGTAGGAGAGCCCAAGCGGGGATTTGTGGATTTACTCGAGCGCGGCAAAATAACATATGGGGAGTAACCTTGCACGTAGTTAAGTACTCCCACTATACCTGAGCCATCAATGTGGGGCCGAACGTCTAGGGCAGCGAAAACAAAATTTTACCGAATGGTCATGACTTTTGGTCACGCCCAAATCGTCAGTCTTTTGAATATAAGCTACTAGAAGGTTCATGTAACATTTCTAAGAACGGAAAAAATATTGATCTTCCGCGGTTTGCATGATATCGAGGTGGCCGTACGAAGGGGTAGAATATAGGAAAAAATAACCGAGCGCGTCAGATGTTGAGAAGGGACGTTACGTGAACCCTCCAGTAGCTCCTATTCAAAAGACTGACGATTCGGACCCGACCAAAAGTCATGGCTGTTTGTTGAAATTTTGTTTGTGTCGCCCTAGACGTTCAGCTCTACATAGATGACTCAGGTATAGTGGGAGTACTTAACTACGTGCAAGGTTGCTCCCCATATGTTATTCTGCCGCGCTCGAGTAAATCCAAAAATCCCCACTTGGGCTCCCCTACTATAAACAGCTGGAGGGATTTTAATAAAATTTGGTATGGAGTTAGCTGACACCCTGGATTAACACATAGGCTACGTTTTACTGCGGGAAAAGAATCCTAATAAACCGCAGGTACAGCCGCGGGGCCAGCTAGTCAGCAATATACCTAACTTGTTAAATCCATTAAATTATTATTTTCCAACTCTAATGCCGAGACGTCAAAGAAAATTGTAAGTCCTAGTAGTAGACATTTTCATTACTTTTTCTGTCTGCACGAAATAGATTTTAGTTGGAGTTACCAACTATCTTTATTAATAAGTCCAGCGTTATTAATAGTAAAACTAATTAACGTTATAAGTAAAAAGGATTCCAATAAGATCGAATTAACTTTAAATTAACCTGCACAAACTTAGTTTAAATGGTAAAAAAGTTAATATACGCTCGAGAGGGCCAATTTCTTTTTAAACTTAACAATCTAGAGTTCGGCTACACTTCAGTTTAAGAAAAAAATAGTTTTAATTTATCAAAGTTTATTGGCATCGGTTCACTTCGAATAATCGAGGGCTAGTCTGCGATGATAGCTGAGGTCAAGTGGCTTTTAAAAAGGTGGCTAACCTATTGTATGGGATGGAATTTCTACAAAAAATATTTAAGAGGTCAGAAGCCACGATCAACTAGCGATAAAGTATTCGTATCTACAAGTCAAAATTTCTATAAAAAAAAACAAATGTGCTTATGACCACACGACTGAAGTGAAACTTCTTTAGCTCCATCTGTATATATAATATATATATTATAATATATTCAAACAAATTGCCATACTAGCTGTGCCCACGGTGTAACCCGGTTTATTAGGGATATTTACACGTAGCCTATGTGTTAAGCTAGGGTGTCCCATTCCCATACCAAATTTTATTAAAATCGCTCCAGCCGTTTAGATGTGAAGAAGTAACAAACATACACACTCACAAACTTTCGCCTTTGTAATATTAGTGTGATGTGTAAGTACAAAATATGTATACATTTATACACATATACATATTTCATTTACTGGCTATAAGAGAAAGAGAGAAAGAAAATGTGCGCGCGCACTGCTTTCTCTTGCTTATATCCCCCACTCAACTCCCGTTCGCCTCGCCCGAACACAGTTTTCGTAACGCGTAACACATTCGCCAGCTTACCCCCCAAGCCAAGCGTGCGTAAAGTAGTTTCACTTCAAAAGCTAGTTTGTTCTTACGTCGGGTAGGGGCGCTGTTTAGTTTACATAAAAACTTTGACGATGCGATACGATTATAGATCTAGCAAAGTTCTTGGTTGGGCTACAGGTTTCAGAAATAGTATCAAAATGAACAGGCTATTTAGGCTCTTAGAAGAATTTGGGAAAAGCGATAAAAAAATATAATTTTAGCTTTTTTTTCAACAGTTTATTTACATACTCAATACTCATTATATAGTACATCTATCACAAAGTCATTTCGTTAATATCAATCAGATCTCTTGTCTTCTTCCTTCTCACGATCGTACAATTGGTGTAACTCGGAAACAAGTGGTAAACCCTATCATCCTTCACGTCACAATATATCAAATTATTAGATCTGTCGAATACAGCTCTGAAAACGCTTCCACTCCTGAATATACCCACTTCCTTTATTCTGTCCCTGATATAATCGATTTTGAACAAGGTCCTACTAGTCGTTTCTATCAAATATACATTATTAAACTTATCCGTAGTTAAAGAATACAACATATTGCTGAAAACCCTAGCATTATCATCGTCCTTTTTATACCTGTGCAATATGTAATCACTTATGAAGTAAATATCATCAAACTTGTCCACCACGAAATCGTCGATAACGTAATCGGATAGAGCACGGATAGATCCAGTTCTGTTATTGTTTTTGTAATAGATACCTTCAGTTCGGCATTCTGTGTAAAAAAGCTTCCCTTTGAATTGCATGTGGCAAATCGTTGTGTTGAATAAGCCCAACTTTTTTGTCTCCTTCGTAATCGAGTTGTAAACGTACATACCGCGTGCTCCAGAGAAGTAGACATCACCTGTTTCATCATTGACTGCTCTCGCGGAGGAATAGTCCACAGGCAGAATGAAAGGTTTAGGACAATCTGAATATAGGTCCAAAACGGCTGTGTAATCATTGGATCTATAATCTTTGTAATGAAGATGCAGAAGATTGTCCATTCTGTCCACAGCAATTTGCCCCGAGAATTGTTTGCCTTCGAAAATCTTCCGTTTGAAAAAGCACATCCCGTTGAAACAAGCGTGGCAAATTTCGGGTAAGGTGTTACTACAATACAAGGTTAATTGTAGAACTAGTAGCACGATCTTCATTGTGTACTGCCAATATGATTCTGAGGGCGTTGTATTAGAATCTAAACTATACGCTTAGGATTATTGTAATATATTGATAAACAACAGCAATTGTTTTAAAATCGTAAACATTTCGTGTTTTGACTTGTCATAGTTGATAGACAGAGTGAAGCAAGTAATTTACTAGGCTATTTTGGCTGCGTAGATAAAGATTCCCATTCCCACCCATCCATACAAACTTTTTACTGTATTAAAATACAGAAAATAAATAGTGTTTGCTTTGGGGACAAAAAGTAGCCCGTTTTCCTCTTTGCTTTATCAAAATTGGTTCGATAGTTTACGCACAAATACGAGACAGACAGTCAGAGTTATAAAAGTTACATTAGCATTATTAATGTCTGTAGTTATGTGTATTTATTTTATATCTTATAACGATGGCATTATCAATATTTATGAATAGATATTTATTTTTGTTTGTCAGTTTATTGTTTTAAGTGGAATCTACACATGCAATTGCTTAAAAATTCATCACCTGTTTGAGACAAGGCGCACTGTCTTGTCAATCGCCTTGATCTTAATTTACATCGAAGGCGACAGTACATTTCTATTCAATTCACGAAACAGTTAAGAAAAAGGTTTTCAAATGTAAACTAAGTATACGTATTTTTATTGTTTAAATTAATTCATATGGCTTGACCGGCTCTTAGTCATCACCTACGGAGGTCGGTGGCTGAGTTTGGAGGTCCAAACCCTGCATTGCATAGGCCTTTGGTGAAGGCAGGTCAAGTTGGGTTCGTTCGAGTCGGACACTCACTGGTAGGGTCGCGGAAGTATCCGGAAGGGTTCTTGTGGATTCAGTTGCTTGGCCTCGCCAGGAGGGGTACCACTTACTGACGGATCATCCGTCCGACGAAATCACGTCCATCGGTCAGGTGAGGAGCATCGTCAGGTTTTTAATGGGGAGGACCCCCTCTTCTCAAGCGAGAAGAGACCCCTCTCTTCATAACCACACATAACCTCGTCGCACTCTTGTCTTCTCCAGATCAGGAGCGGACATCTAAGCGGATCTCTCTAACATGGACGAAGACAGGTAGATGGATTGCGTAACTACGCACCCACTCCCTCTGCTGGGGCCAGTGCAAGTGACTGACTACCATCCGCACATTGCAGGGTATCACCTGTTTGGGGAGAGGCTTCACGCGCCTGATATTCTCCTGCCAGAATGGTCAAAAAGGTCAAAAAGGTCCTTTAACAGGGAGTGAGTGACCCGGTTACTCGGAAACGGTTTTTCGGGTACCACTCCCAACCGAGGGTGCGCCGCGGGGTTTTTACTGGGTAAGGCCTCCGAGGACTCATCGAATGGACTGAATCGAATGAGTCCCCAGATATTACCACATAACCTCGCCGCTTGTCAGGCATCGGGGTATGCGTCTCATACATACCCCAAAAACAAGGGCGGTGGGTTTAACGTCATGCATATTCCTGACGTTAAAATATGTCTGTATATGGCTTCTGCTGTGACCGACCAACGAGCACGACTATCCAGTCGCCAGCATCGCTTCCGGAAGCTTGCAGCAGTCTGCCAAGGCTGCTTTCCTTCTGGACTAACTTATGTTGGCCGGAGTAACCGGGAATGTATGGAGACACGCACAATGATCCAATGATTAGGAATAAGTGCGGAAACCGCCTTGAAAAACTAACTAACTAAGGCTTCTGCTGCCCTCGCTTGCAGCCGCAGCCTGCCGCCTAGGACCATGGCCCGTTTAGCCCTAGGGTAAATAAGGCCCTGAATACAAGTCGGCATTCTGTGGTCCAAGCTCGAAGTTTGATAGCTCTATAATCGTACCGTCATCGTCAAATTTTGTATGGAAAACAATTGGAAAAAGCAAATTAGTTCTTATGTTCGATGACGTACGAGACGCTGCTTAGTTTTCACAGAAACTTTGATGATGCTGATGATGATTATTGAACTTTGACGATTACGGAGGAGCTGTTCAAATTCGGGCATGGGCCTCTGTTTGCGATTGCGTGAGAATGCCTGTTGAAGTAACTCAATGTGTGTGACAGAAGACAGCTAGGTTCCGCACAGTTTATTGAACTGAACACTTAAAAAACAAAAGAACGTCAATTTACTTATAAACTTATAAAATTTACTTTAATTAACTTCCTGCGATAGTTGGGGCCTTCCAATGTACGAGTAATGGGTTTGAATTTAGCTCTAATGTCTCGGCGACTCAATACCAATAATTAAGGGCATAGTGTTTCTTGTAATTTGTTATTTGGTGGGTATTACTCATTTTTCATAAATATAAAGCTAACTATAAAATTTATTGTAACTATATATCTATATTCTAAATGATGTACTGGAAGGTTACTTCAGAAGTATCTCTGAGGTCATTTTCAACTTGACGACTGTATATAACAATACAGGGAGAGGAAAAAACAGCCCTTGCTGAGTTTCTTGCCGGTTCTTCTCAGTACAAGGTCTCCCGCCGTAGTTTTGCGAACCGATGGCGTAGCTTCTTGATCTTCACAAGTGCTTGTAACAGCCTAGACTGAATAACTGATTTTTGGTTTTTATTATAAGACAACGTATTTTGTATAGGTTTCGTCTATTTACCTTATAGTACCATTTAATTATACTGTTTTCGTTTTAACTATGTCATTGTTACAGATAATCATAGACTGGCTGCCGCCTCAATCTAATGAATGGAAACAGGTAGTTGCGTTCATTTAGATTTGAAATTTCCACAAATTGCGTGTTGCCGTGCGCGCTATTACAAAAAAATATATAATTAGAGGTACATTAAAAAGGGGTCCCGTAAAAATACCCTTTAGGGGTATTTTCAATGTCCTTCTTCTCGTGCTTTGTCTCACGTAGATTCGAGACGAGACTGACGCGCACTCGGCTGGATTTCATAAAATTTCATAGATTTTGCCTTCTTAAAATTCATACAACTTTTGGGCGGAACCCATTACTAAGTCTAATGTAGTAATGTATCTCATGAACTACTGTAGAAGATCTTTTTCCGGTATTATACACAAATAAGAAGATAATTGGAATAAAATAAAGGTAAAAAACTTAAAGGGTCTTCATACATGAATCGTTGATCATCATCAGTCTATTAATGTCCCCACTGCTGGGGCACAGGCCTTCCCTATATATGGAATTGCGAGATTGAGCCATGACCCACCACGCGGGCCCAGTGCGGATTGGCGGGTGCTATCTTCTGCAGATGCAGCCGGGATCAACGGCTTAACGTGCCTTCACGCACGGAGAAACTCGAGATAGAAGATTTTTGGTCACCCATCCAATGACCGACCGATCGCTAACCACCTGCGCCATTGATTATAAAAATGTTTATTATAAAATCTAAATTCAATTGAAAATCTTTCGTTTTTAATGCCAATCAATTCATTAGGTTTAAAAAAAAATTTTAATATAAATTTCATTAATAAGAAGAAAAAACGCAATAAAACACTTAAACCATTAAAAACGACAATAAACTTTTCACGCTTTTTTAAACGATATACCTAAACGAAAACACAACACAACGTTGCGCTTTTTACGCATGCTTTTAAACGTTTAAGCCAATAAGCGTTTAAACGAAACGACAATAAACTTTCACGCTTTTTTAAACGATATACCTAAACGAAAACACAACACAACGTCGCGCTTTTTACGCATGCTTTTAAACGTTTAAGCCAATAAGCGTTTAAACGAAAAAGCTTTTTTTCAAGCGCGCTTATTTTAAAAAGTACAACGTTTAAACGCTTTTAAGAAATAAGCCGTTTTTTCCATCTCTAAATAATTGACAGTTTTGGATAACTTTACTAGTTCGGGTCACCCTTCCCGTGAGAGTTCGTCTTGCTGTGCCAGATTTGAGAAAAAATAATGTCCAAACTGGTACTATGAACTTTAAACCTGAAAGTTACGCAGATAACTTTGGAACGCGCGTCTTTATTTCTTTACATATGTCACACTTTGTATTTACAACAAGATTACAATGCTTGAAGTCCGGAATAAACGGCCCCAACGGGAATTTAAATGCCCGCGTCCTTTCCAGCTATTATTACTTGGGAATGCTTTTATGTCGTGTTTGTTGTCATTCGGGATTATAATTAGAGGCACAAGTGGACATTCCCTTTATAGGAGCTTACTATTGGAGCCTACAGTTAGGGATGTAAATGTTATATTATATAATGCGATTCAAATAAGAATAGGAAAGCCAATGACCTCTACCTGTCAAATGTCGCTTGAAAAAAAAAACTTGGAACCCTCTTTAAGCACTCCGCTAATTCAAGAATAAAAACCAAACATTTGTAAACAAACAATAACAAATATTGATCGGTTGATATTTTTTTTCTTTCACTTATTGAGCTTTGGTCATGAATGGTTGATAACCTAAATCGTCAACCAAATGTCACTTTAAGTTGCGTTCAGAAACTCGATTTCAAACTTTCATTTACATAAAGGATGCATGTGCGTATGTGACCTAATAATAGTGCATGATTATTCATGTAAAAAAGCCGTGGACAAATGACACAATTTTTATGGTAATCTGGCACGTATTCTTCTTCTCTTCTCTTCTCTTCATCTTACTCTAAAAAAAGACAGCTCTGAGAGTAAAAGTGCCATATTATTTATATTGTAATAATTCAACTATTCGAATTCGATAATCGTATATCGTACTAAGAGTACAAATTTTTTGGGACAGAAGTTTCGATTCGATTGCTTTTAGTTTTTTTTAAACCGGTTGCCCGTGTTTGGTGACAGGTCTTTATTTTCCTTTATGTTTTTTTTTCTTTTTTTGTTATTATTTTTGCCCCCCTTTGGGTGGTCGTTTTTTTTGCACCTCATTTTTTTTCGCTTTATTTCTTGTTTTATATATATCTCTTAATTGTATTGAATGCTCTTTCTTATTCTAGGTCATTTATCGCATTTCTTAAATCCTTATATCTATTTTACAACCATTTTCTTGTTTACTTGAATTTTTAACATTTTTGTTTCTTTATATATTTCTTACATTTTCATTATGCTTATTTCATAGTACATCTTATATTTAAAGATTTAGTCTATTTCAATTACACTTTTTATTTACAGTAGAGGAGCTTCGTTTACTAATCCTTATTTCTTTCTATTACTTTTAGTACTATTTTCCGACTAAACTCTGGGAATCGTTTCCCTTCTTTCTCATTTTAGATGATTTCCCTTAGTGTGACCCAACTGATTTGTGTATCTATGCGTGTCAGTAGTGTGTGCCTGTGTGTTCCATACAGGGGGCACTCTATGAGGATATGAAATAGTGAGATATTGAGATAAATAGGGATTTCCTACACCATCGCGAATTTTAAACTTCACTTTACTTTTATATAGAAATCACTGGGTTAGGTTAGGTTAGTTTACTGTTGTGTTGTGACAATTGTGGCCATAACGCGCGAGCCGAGCGAGCGAAGCGAGCGTGCCGCAGTAGCGCCCGGCGAAGCACCCAAAAATAAAGCTTTGATTAGTGTACTGTCGATATAGTACTACTGTCGATGTAGCGTACAATTAATTTGGGGTATTGTCGATTCATCAACTCGTCGATGAAACATTTTCGACTCAGAGACCGTCGATACATAGTGAATGTCGATATTATGAACCAGACCCGATATATACATATACTACTATTTACTAAAACTTATTAGAACGGTTGTAATATTTCTAATTATAAACCTTTTTACGACAGAACGGATCCCTTCATTTGCGATACCGGCTTGACTTTGTCGTTTTTTTACAACTCTCGATTCTTCGTATAGGCAAGTATTCGTAATGTTGTCGTGTGTGACTTCATCGTGTTTCGGCATATTAATACAAACAATATCGGTGTCATTGCAATGTTTATCATTATTACGAATGTTTAATCTTTTCTGTCG